GGGCACGTTGGAAGTGCTGCCCTTCCAAGGGAAGAAGAGCATTAAAAAGAGGTTGAGGGAAAGCTATCCTGGCTGCAGAAAGCATGACCTGTGTTGGAAGACTGAAATATTTGTGGTGTTTAGCCTGTAGAAAACAAGGCTGAAGGAGTTGCAGGACATAAAAGAATGAACTGTATTTAGGGCACAAATTAGAGCAGGGAAGACTGGAGGTGCATTTTCCCCTGAGGACTTGCCTGTGTAGAGTAAATTAATGTGGGCAGGCTGCACTTGTAGGGATTTTTAAGGGATGGTGGACAAACATCTTCCGGAAGTAGCAGAAGGGCATCTTGGCCTTTGCAGGAGGATGGAGAAATTAATGAACTGCACAGGGGGGTCCCCTCTTGACCTGTGTGTCTGCAGGTCTGGGCAGAACTGCTGTTGTCCTTTTCCCTTCAGTTTCTGAAAAGTGGATGTGCAGATGAGATAAAATAGGTTAGATTTGATCTGGGAAACTAGGGTGAGTACAGTTTGAGAAGATTAGTTGTACTGAAGGGTGATTAGCCTCATTGTTTTTATAGAGTAATTAAATCTGTAGCTTTAATCAGAAAGGTGCAAATTCTTTGAAGGAGGGAGAAACAAAGGGGTGATGACTTTTAATCCAATCAGGGAGGATGGCTTTAATACAGATGAATTCAAAGGCTGGGCCTCTAATAAACAAGGTAGACTTGGATGAACAATCTGTAGGGGAAGTGTTACCACCACCTGATTTGGTTAAAGCCACTCAGAAAGTGGTGGCTGCATAAGCAGACGGACTCGTGGCCTCACCTGGAGAGGCTGCCAGTTGGCACAGGCGCCTGAGTCTGTAGGAACGTGAGAGGTAAGGTTCTCCTGCACTCCATCTGTTGCTTTTCTTGTATCTGAAGGCTTAGTTATACTGGGAGTTGGTTTCACTCACGTTTGGGAATTGTGACTGCATGAGTTCAAGCCTCTGTTTAAAAAAAAATGTGGTTTGCACTGATGTCATTTCAGGCATATTGAAAATATCAGCATTGCCAGGAGGTTCTCAACAGTTTGCACTGGTGATGGCTACTGATAGCTACAGTCCAAAATGAACCCCTAAAGCCTGACTGGCTTCTGCTTGCAGATATTGTGTTGGGTAGAAATGTTTCACCAGTTTATTGCATAGTGTCTCTCTCTTTCGCTGTGTTACCGTCTTCTTATTTGGATATGTAAATAATAAACAGATCGCCTTTTCTCATGGTGACTTGCTCTGCAAGGTAATTTGCTGCTTTTGTATGATATGCTGGAGCTGGGTTCCTGTAAAGTTTAGATGTTTTTAACCAGTGATGCATAAGGCAGAATACTTGCAAGGGATTGTCCTGTAGAAAGTCTGTAGTCTTCCAAGAGTACACGCTTGCTGCTGGTCCTGCTCTGTGGAAACAGGATTTTTATTTTTTTATTTTTTATCATTTCTTTGCCTGGGACACTGCTTAAGGATCTTGGGATTTGTGCACAAAGAGAATTTTGTACCTCGACCTTTATTTGTCTCTGGCTTTGTAAGCTTAGCTGTTGAGATACTTGCAGGTAGTCTGTGGAATAAACTGAGGCATCCATTGAAAACTTCGAGCTGTGTGGAAGGTGATGATTGCAGAGTGGCCGGAAGGTTCATGAGGCAGACTGAGAAGTGCCCCTGAAAACATCAGCCTTTGTTACCAAGCAAAACACTTCCATGAGAGTGTGAAGTGACAGGAATGAAGAAGAGCATGAGCTGCAGCCAGACTAAAACTAATTTTCACTGGGCTGGAGTCGCTGTCTTAGCTCATCTCAGATCTTGTTTTCTTCCCTAAACTGGAAGAAAAATCCTCTCACATTATTCTCGTAAGTGAAGGTCTTCTGCTGCAGGCTGTCAGTCAGGGGCTGTAGCTTTTTGGTTATTCATCTGGTTTTCTGGTAACTTCTTACTAAGTTTGGCTAAGCAGTCATTTAGTTTCTGAAATTAATTTAGTCAAAAACAGGCTCTTCTAAAACAGCTAGATCAGAAGAAGGTGCAACTTTACCATGTAGCCTGGTATCAGGATTGGAGCATGTTCTGGCCTTTCTCCAAACCAGTGTGTACAGGTGATCTCATTAAACCTTGTTGAATGCAGGGAGTGTGTGAGGTTCTTGTGAAAATTTGTGGACTGATTTTTTTTTTTTTTTAATTTTTCAGGAGTTGGGTTGGAAGCTTGGTCTTTTTAAGCCTTTCTTCGTTTGCCAAAGTCTAATTTTAAACTTCTTTTTTTAGCCAAAGACGACTTTTTTTTTTTTTTAACACGTGTTAAATACTGATATAGGTTCTTCCTTATTTAACTATAAAGGAGATATGAGTGACAGCAGTATTTTAAGATGAATGTTTCCAGATTGATGATGTATTTCAGCTGTTGAGAGGCTTAAGATCTGTACTGCTTTGGGCAGTAGCTGACTAAGAGGATAGGTATGCAGAAAGGAAGTGCAGTTGCTCTGAAGCCTACGTTATGCTGTATGGTGAAGGACCCTCTGTTGGGAAGGGAGCCCTAACCTTGTATTTACCAATTGTAATCTTGGGTTTTTCAGTAGGGTGGCTAGTGACATTTGCAGCAAGGGTAGCCATTGCTTTTAGCAGACCAAATGACGCTTGCAGTAAGCATCAGGTGTTTTGAACGTTCCCCTCTTCATATGCAAAACCTTTTTGGCACTGTCCAAATGGATGGCAAGGCCTTCACAAGTGCAGGGGCTGCAGTATAGGAATGGGGATTATAATTCCTGGCACAGGAGTCTCTGGCAGCATCCTCTGAAGCAGTGTGGTTTTACACTGCCCCTTACTGGGGCTCTCTCATAGTGCAAGAACTAAAAGCTACTGGATGCCCAAGAGTTTGCTCTATTTCAGGGGTTTGGGCTTTGGTTTTTTTTGTTCATGTTTTGGGGTTCTGTTGCATTTTTTCCCCAAGGTATGAGTTAAATTACATGTAGTACTCTCCTGTGTATCAAGATGCATTACTTGTAATAGTTGTTCTACGGTTCATTTTAATTTTTCTTGATGTTTCATTGTGTTCTTAGGGTTTGTTTGAAAACTTGCGGAGTTTGGTGATAATGGCCTTTGATACAGATCCAAACTGGTGGAAGCTTGGAATGACCAAGAAACTGGTCTTTCATTTTTGAACTAGGGACCATTAGGCTTGATTTTCGACCACAGGAGCACTGGGTTCCACATATTAAAACCACATTCCACAGATTAAAAAAATAATCTGAAAGAATGGGGGATTAGGACTAGAGGCAATTCTCTGTTATTCCTGGAGAGTGAGAGAGAGCTGAGTTCTCTGGCTAAACATAAAGCAACCTCACCATTCAGCTTTGTTTGCCAAGAATACAATTGTTGAGTTGAGGATGTGTGGCACAAGCAGAGATCTTCATTTTGGTATTGTAAGATACAAAAGGGAGTTAAGTCAATTAATACTTTTGATACGTAATGGGAATCTCCTAGCATTCTGTAGCTCCTGATGAGTTACCGTTTTGCTGTGTAGAAATGCAAGCAACTATAGTTTCAAAATTGAGCTTAGAAGTATAGAATGTCTTCTTAATTTATAGAACATTGAGCTTATTTTGTGTGACAGCGATAGCTGTTGTACTTTTGTGGGGAGTGATTTTAAGCAATATCTGAAGTGCAGTGGGTATCTTGTGGGAATCAAAAACCAAAATGCTAACCTGGCTAGGTTCCCAGCGCCCCTTGTGACACAAACTTAAGCACCCCACTGAAGAAACTAATTATTCAGGTTAACGGATTTGTGAAAATGCTTAAATACTTCTTGGCAATCTGGCTGTATAGCCAGTACAAAGCTTTAAAACTGATGGTTCTTGCTGAGCTTAATTTGATCAAGGAATATCTCTACAGGGGCATGCATAAAAGGAAGCCAGAGTACAGACAGCTTTCCTGGGTGTATTGCACACAGCATTTTTCTGTGCAAAAACTGCCAGCTGAGTTACAGAGGGAGCATGGAAAAGGACAGTGTGAGGGATTTGGGACTGAGTATTCTGGTGTGAATAATTCAGGAATGACCTGTGATGTTCTGCTCCATGGATTGAGTAGGGGAAGTTACAAAGGTGGCCAGGATAAAAATGCTTTTATTCTGAGATTGCTCAGGAAACAGGAACTGGTGCATTAAGAATGAAACACATCAGTAAGGCATTAATAGAGAGTATTTTTCCGTAACTTGTTGACTCACTAGCCTGTTAGCCTCTGTGGGCTGCTTATCTAAATTTTCAGAGACCACATTCTACGAGGAAGACTTAGTTTTAAAATGTTTCATTTGGGTGCACAGAGCAGCTCCAAGTCACCATGGCCTCACGGCTAACACCGTTCATGAGCTCCTAATTGCTATGAAGAACTCCTGTAGTTCAGACACTGTAGTCACAAGAGCTAGTCTCTTCTAAAACACCTACATCTGGATATTTCTAAGTAGAAACCTGGCCTAATACTTTCTTCAGATGCCTAAAATTGTCTTTTTTAGTAGGCACATTGATCAGAAATGTTATTTTTGACAGTGCATTCCAGCACTAAATGAGGATACGTGAAGTTCTCAAATCCAAGGTGGTCTCCTCCATTTCCAAAAAGGTTGCCTGAATGATTTAGTCAGTCTTTCTGGGTCTACCAAAGACTTAATGTTGTTGAACGGTATAGTTTTATTTCTGCATATGCTCTTGAAGAAAAACATTCAGATTGCCAGAATAAGGAGAAAGATTCAGATAGTGATGTTTATCACATGAACTGTGCTCAGCAACCGTGTCTAAGAAACTGACTTCAAAACAAGCTATAAAGTCAGAGAAAGGTTAGCTAGCCTTTGTTAATCTAAGCCCTTTTATCCTGCTTAATGAAGGGAAGCAACATCATAAAGCTAATCTGCAGGCTGGAACTGTCAGTACCATTACTAATTTTATTATTTTTTTTGTAAAAAACAGGGCTGAATGAACCATAAAAAAATAATAACCTGATTTTGTATCCCATGCAGGTTTTCTGAAGTTCTGGAAGTAGCAGGACGTTTGGTTGCTAGCTGACCTGGAACTTATGCTCCACTTTGGAAAGATCTGCAGTGGGAGCTGTTCACCTTCACATACCCTGTAGTTTTCTTCCTCAGAAGAAAAGGAGTTGACCTGCGAGAGTGGTACAAGGTGACAATGTAACATAGGTGATGCTGAAGGTCTCCTGAGAAGAACTGACCTTGTAAGAGGCTTCTCCTTCATCTTCCTCTCCCCTGCCTTTTTTTTTTGTTTGTTTGTTTTTGATAACTCCCCCTTTCAGTATCTACAAGCAAGATGCCAGCCAAGACGCCCATCTACCTGAAAGCCGCTAACAACAAGAAAGGGAAGAAATTCAAACTAAGGGATATCTTGTCTCCAGATATGATCAGCCCACCACTTGGAGATTTTCGTCACACCATACACATTGGAAAAGAGGGACAACATGATGTTTTTGGAGACATCTCCTTTTTGCAGGGTAACTATGAGCTATTGCCTGGAAATGAAGGAGAAACCAGAGTTAGCCAATCTGATGGCCACAGTGAATTCTTAAGGGCAAACAGCACTTCTGAATCCATGTTTACAGAAACTCCATCACCAGTGCTCAAAAATGCTATTTCCCTGCCTGCCATCGGGGGTTCTCAAGCTCTGACGTTGCCCTTACTGTCCCCAGTGACATTTAATTCAAAACAAGAATCCATCAAGTCATCAAGAAATCCTAGGCTTAGCTGTGAGCCAGTAATTGAAGAAAAGTTGCAGGAGAAAAGTAAACAGATGGAGGATGGAGAATCATACAAAGATGACTTATGGGAGCAAAATGGTTCTTCCTCGCATTTTTCTAATGGTAGAGACAGTCACTCATCCAGCTTTTCTGATCGATGCACTGATTGGCAAACAGTTGATTTATTTGATGACAGTCAACTTTCGTGTGAACTAACCAAGACAAAGTCAGAAGAATCCCTTTCAGATCTTGCAGGCTCTCTTCTCTCCTTACAACTTGACTTGGGACCCTCACTTTTGGATGAGGTCCTCAATGTAATGGACAAGAATAAATCTTAGAGCTGGTACTCCTTGCTTTCTTGTAAGTGATTCACTTAAACAAAACCACCATCAACAAAAAACACCATTCAAGAGTAGAGACACTTAAAAATCAGCTGTATTTGCAGTTGTTTGACGGGTTTTCTAAAAATATTCATAAAGTACTATTTTTTTACCTATTGTTTTTCATGATTTTTATTACACTAAATTCTCATATCAGGAAGGTAAATTTTAATAACAATTTTCAGCAAACATAAAATGTTTTTAAGTACCAGTATAATGATCAGAAACTTAAGAAACAAAGTTTGAGGATGATACTGATTGTGACATTTGGTTAGTTCACTTCTACAGGCTTCTGAATACATGAGACTTTGTAAGTGTCAGAGAGGAGATGGGTATTATTCACTCTTACAAACTATTACAACAGCACGTTACATGTAGGCCTCTTTCTAGAACCTTGTGTGGGGTCTTGATTGTTGTTGTTTTTTTTTTCCCTAGTTCCATTTCTGTTATACCTTCACAGTAACTATTTCTGCAGCCTTATACTACCGCTCTATATTCAGATGTGAACAATTTGAAGGCTTTTTTTCAGCTTGAACACCTGGTCCAGAGTCGTGGCTGTTTTAAATGAGTATGCACAAATTTACACAAGTTGAGGCTTTGGGCCTGATATTGTATATGAAATGATATGTTGTAAACAGGTGACACATGCAAGATATTATGGTTAAATTATTTTAAAAGTTGAAATATATTTTTTGCGTGTATCTTGGCTTTTTACTGCAGAGCCTACACATACAGTATCTCATCAAAATAGTTGCTTGACATTATTGGTGCTCTTCTGAAAATTGTATATTTGTGTGTTTGAAAAGAAATATGTATTGATATTCCTTGCTTTTTTTCTTCATTTATTGCCACACATGCTTAAACTTGCAACCGATTATTTTAACTCTTCAAGAAGGCACTGGTTATTCACAACGCTTGTGATGTGTGCTGCAACAGCCGCTGTTTTGGGAAATGTGGATCCTTTAATACAGTACATGGATTGCATAGATATCTTGTGCAATACAATAAAAAAAATGAAATCGCTATGGCTTTGTGATTCAGTACATAGCCTCACCAAAACACAAAGTTTTGTTTTCTGCTGTAACAAACAGACTGCAGTAGAGTTGCAAAAATATGGGATCAAGGGGCAGATCAGACTGAGATACTATCCCAATTAATTTGACGACTGCAATCCAGTATGCTTCCTGGGGTTATAAGGGCAAACTTGGTGCAGGTAGGACCTTCTGGGATATAGGTTGTATTTTTTTTAAGTTTTCTCTGGAAAGCAGAGAGCAATACTTGGGTATCACTTTGGCACAGTGAAGTTAATGGCATGGTTCCCACAGCTTCCAGTGAAGCCTTTAGGTAAAAATCCTGATGCAGTTTGTGAACCAGTCTTGGGTCGATAACCACATGGCATCTCTATCATCTGATCAGAGCATGTAAGTCATGGAGGATTTAGTATGTATTATCTTCATCACCAACATTTCTAGGGAGTTGAGGTCAACTAATTCCGGTACTTCCATGTGTTTTAGGAATAATTTTGCCCATGACAGTAACTATTCCTACTTCTGCTCAAGCAGTTGTATTAGTGTGTTTTGTTGAGACATCTGCTTCCCATGCATATAAATGAGGAACTGTGATGTACAATGCCTAAAAGCTGTGCTTATTTTTAAGATAATTTTTAATTTTTGACATTGTATTCTGTGTGTAAGCCTGCATTAATTTTTGAGTGCATTCGTGGTACAGGAAAGGTGCTTCTGTGACTGTAGTGGGTTTTGTATTTTAGAAAGGAGGCTCAAGGATCTGCTTGGCCACTTGTTTCTAATAGGATCTGGGGTTTAGGACCTAATGAGAATTTAGGCCAAAACTTTCATTGGAATAAACTTGTCAGTCATTAGCATAGGGGAAATTTGGGTAATAGGTAATTTGGAAATAGGTAATTAGGCATTTTCTATGTAGACTAGCTTCACTATCATGAACAGAACAAAGTAGTTGTTGAATTAAAGTCAGTATCTTGCAGGACTCCTCCAAGTATTTCAGGAAAGCAGAAACAGATTCTTACAGCTGCTATTGCAGTTGTGTTATTTTTGCTTTGTCTTTTTTTATATGTCATTTCCTGGCTCCTGAAAAATGACTCGACATTTCAGGAGTTTTCAGTTTCTATCACCCTTTCTATGTAATTGCTCTTCTAAATTTGTAAATCCTTAGCTCTTACTGTGACGGTGGGTGGTCTGAGTTAAATGATTATCACTCCAGGCAGAAAAAAACACTGTGGTGTGGAGGAGCCTTTGCTTGAGTAAGAGCAGGAATTTTACACTGGCAATGTCAACTTCATCTTTCTTAAAGCATTTTTGTCACTGCCTTCAGAAACTGAATCCCTGATTTTTTTGCATCTGATCAGTCTTCCACGTAAAGCTTTAGGAGAGACAGAGTCAAAATGTGCCCACCTTCTGTCTTGACATGGTCTTCTGTAAAATGGTGCTCTGTGTAATCTGATCCAGCATCTCCCTTGTTACAATACAGGTTGCCAGATGCCAGATCAAAGCCTTGGATTTCTGGTTTGTGAGAAGTTCTGCCTTCCTGAAGCCTTGATAAAATTATACGTGGAAAGCTGACTATCCAAGGCAGCATTACTCTGGTTTCCTCAAAACTGAGATACTGCTGCAGATTGGCCTTGGAACAAGGGACTGGCAGGAGTTGCCTTGGATATCACATAAATTTTTTGAGACCACTACCCTAAAACGTCCAGTGAAGTCCTAAAGATGTAATCTAAACGCACCCAAGGAAGAAAGCAAGCCACCCAGATATGTTTGTTTCCTGCAGCAGTGTTAGCAGAGTTCCACAATTGTACAATCCTACAAACTGGGCTATGCACAGGCATACCAGCAAGTCCAGTATCATCTAAATCAACCACCCATGTCACAGTTCCCCTGCCAACCTAACTGGGGTGATCAGTATTGTGCCGAGAATGTCGTGTAACAAGCCAAATGCCGGGCCCACATTGATCTCTTTTCTTTCCTTTTTTTTTTTTCCCCTAATGAGAACCAAATCCAAAGCTTTAGAGGAAACTGAAAAGCAAAATAAACCTCCAAGCCAAATCACAAATCAAAGGGTGGAAAACAGCCTGATGAGGGTGCCAGAAACCTCAAGATAGGGGTTTGATGCAGTCTAAGCAGTTTTTTTTTTTTCCAAAGTCCATTGTATAGGTACGAGAAACTAATGACTTCCACAGCAACCTTACTTTCTTCCCCACATTGACAAGCTCTACATTAGGAAAATTTGCCAATCATTGGCATTTGCTTGCATTCATGCTCCTCAAACTTACATACACAGAAGGTCCCCACTTTGCTTCACCTGTTTCCCCGTAGCTCTACAAAGCGTATATGCAACAGAGCCATCTGGATTTGCTGGGAAAGGGGTATAAATAACTGCACAATATGTGAACACAACAGAAAAGGGGAGAAAACATAAAGTCTCAAGAGTGGCAAACAATACATCGTTTAAGAATCACTTCCTTCCTTCCTAGGCCTTTTTCCTTTTTGCATTTCTTGGTGTTAACAAGGAAGCTAGCTATCAGGGGTAGGGCTGAAAGGACATTCTCTAATTTGTGCAGGAAATTCTCAACAAGAATAGTTTGAGGCCAAGTTTCAGGAAAACGCAGGAGGACTTAACTCCTAGAAGGCATATTAGCTCAACATTTTCTTATTCCTGCTCGAATCAGTGAGAGAAGGGACGCTTCAGATGGCTGCCTCTGCGAGAATGTCAGTCGTGACCAGAATCGGCAGCAGCTGTTTGATATGTGACATATAAATAACCCAGATGCAAGCCTAGCAGGAAAGCTGTTGGACCCTGCAAAATGAGGCCAAATAAAGTTCAGATGATGCAAGGGGAAGCGAAGATACACACTAGACTTTATTCTAAGGAAAGGAATTAACAGTTGTTATAGGCGATTTAATTAAATTAGCAGCAACCTAATTCTGTTCTGCTGGCATTCATTGGCTTTTCCTAGGAGCACGAAGTACAGCTGTTTCCTACAAATGCTTTCATTTGGTGTGTTTTGAAGGGGGTTCCTGAGTCCCAATGTAGGGCTGGATCCATCTCTAACTGCTTCTCTCTAGTTAGCATTTTACAAGTGCTAGGAAATCAACAAAGCACCTCATACTTTGTTTACTTTTTAATCTTGTTATCTATTATGTTCTCTATAATGATTATAAAAGGGCTGATTTTCTCCTGGTATAAATTAGCATCATTCAAAGTCATGAATTCAGATTTCCACCAGGGAGAAATAAATTTCCCAGAATATTTACATGAAAGAATATTTTTCACAATAATACTGCAGTATGACCCTACACATCCTTCAGGCCATTTCTTTTCATCATTGTCTAAGACCGTTCTTTTTTAGCTTGTGCACAATGAAATTAGTACTTCAGCTTCGTGGATGGGCAACGTTTAGCCTGTGCTATGTTTTCTTTTTTTCTTAAGAAATTTATATATTGAGGAACCTTTCTTCTAGGAGAACGTCCTGTCAGGGTGCCACAGGAGCTGTGACAGAGGTGAAGACTGGAGCTCCACCTCTCCATGGAGCTCCAGCATCACTGGGGCAGGGACTGAAGGTGCTGGGCTGAGCTGGAAGGGGGCCCCCAAACCCATGGACAGGGCTGGGGGCCCCCATGTGAAGTCGTGCATGAATCAGAGCATGCTGAGCTGAGCTGGAGGGCTCTTGGGCATCACAGGACACTGAGAAGATCCAAGGGACACTGAGAAGATTCAAGGCACATAGGTCTCAAAAAAGAGGGAAGACTGAGCCTAGGCAGGTGATGAGAAGTAAGGTGCAACTCACTCAGCAGCCTCTGCAACTGCTTCCTGCCCACTTCTACAGTTCACTCTCTGTATGTGCCTTCAGTACCCTCGGATACTTCCAGAAAACTCAATGCAAGAAATAGTATGTTTTTACTCATTGAGTTTTTTCTTTACATTTTTTTTTTTTAATTCTTCAGACAAGCATTGTTTGCATTTCTGTGGAAATAAGGGGCTGAGTTGCTAGGGCAGAAGACAACCTTGGGCAAGCAATGAAAAGCAGTCAGGAGAGGCAGACAACAGCTTTTTTTCCTTCAAAACAATAAGATATGTCAGCCTAGTAAACAGTGCCCAGGAATATTGCAAAATACTCTACCTGAATCTTATATATATAGGATGAGCTCTATGTTACTCATTAGCTGCCTACACATGTGGTGAATACCTAAAATTTGCACCAAGAATCATATACAAGAAACCCATGCTAACTTCTATATGTTTAGGCAACTGGAAGGAAAAAACACATGTTAACTGAAAACGTTTACTCCCAGCTCTTTAGGCACATGTCTAGTGGCAATATCAGAGTCCAAAGATAGAAATTTATACGCTTGGAGTCCCAAACAGCTATCATTGCCATCTATTTTACAGTGCTATAGCTGGTGTTTGTTTTCTAATATTTATTTATATGAAACAGAATTCCAGCCATTACATTCTGTTTCTGAATGACACTGTAGGATGTCAGCTGTGTCTCCCAGGGCTTCCACCTATTCCTTTTTGGCAAAGCAGTCTGCTACAGGAACATCTGGATAGAAAAATTTCTGAGGACAGATTTTCTTTCTCCACCTTAATTTGTAGTGAACCATATCTGGTGGGTTGGAAAAACTGTGCGAATGGACTTACTCATGATATTTCTATTTCCTCTCCTGGCAGATAACTTGCACATATCATCCATTCATGGTTTACATATTTATATTTAATCATCAAGCATTTTCTAAATTCAGAAGAGCTTCACGTCACTTCTTGTTTTATCCAAACTCTAGCTCGCACTAGAAAAATGCAGATGGAGACAGCAACTTAGCAAGCTGACTGTAAATGGTGACCTTCTACATCCACATGATTGGAACAGCTTTCACTGTGTTTGGCTCGTGAAATGAGTTTTGAATGTAAGCCACAATTATGTTAAACAGGATTCTATAGTGAGCCCTAACTCCTTGTGATAGCATTGGGGAAATCCTAACTGCACTGAGGATGTGCACGCTGAGGAATGCCACTTCTCCTACTGGAAGTGACGTGCTTTCCAACACTGATAGCCACGTTTGCAATGGTGCAGTGAAGGGAGTCCAGGGCAGACAAACAACCTAATAAGAAGGAAAAAAACAGCAAGGGAAAGGTTCCTTTTTGACTACAGCACTAATGTGAACTTCTAGGCTCTCTTGGCTCCAGCACAGACTTCAGCTGTGGGCCTGAACTTTGGCAAATCATTTAATCTCTCCATAGTGCTGAGTCTTCCATCTCTAGAATAAGATAGATAACATCGTACTTCTATCAACTTTTGTCTGTTCTGTCTGCTCAGATAAAAAAAAGTAGGTAAATTGTTCCGAGGACAGCGCTTAGATAAACCACCTCATGCCTTGTAAGCTAAGTACTGTTATATGGAACTAAGAATGCTTTATACTATAGACAACATGGTATTGTAAATATGTATGCTCAATACATTTTATAATTTTTTAGTGATAGATGCCTCAAAATCACATCTGCTTTAAATGCCCATGTAAAAAAAAAATGCTCCTTAATAGTATTTGAAGAAGAAAATCTAGGCTTTACTCTCAGCTTGAAATATGATCAGTTATAAGGCAATATGATTACATGACTTGGAAAAGAGGGCAAGTGATGACTTCAGGAAATCTAATATTCAGGGATTGTCAGCAAGGCTTCTAATTTATTTGTTTCCTTATTATTATCTTTTCGGAACTGTGCTAAAGAGCAAGGACTGTCTTTTCCCATGCCTGCAAAGCACTTACTACAACCTGGCTGTCACCACAGTCCAAGAAATAGCGTAACACATGGCCAGCAGCAGAGGTTCACTGTGCCATGACATGTCAGCAGAGAGGTCAAATCTGTGCAGATCCAGTTAAGTGTGAACAGGTGTGACCAGACCACCATGAACCACCTACCTGGTTACGTTCTAAATATAGCAGGAGACACTCAACCCCAGAGATATTTGTAACCTTAAACCACCCTGTAGCCACAGACTATCTGACATTATTCCCTAGAGCAAGCAAGCAAGAGAAAGAGACATCTTTCTTTAATCTTTGCCACATCATGAAAAATATTTTATGCTGTCAATATTGTGGATTGCTCCCTGATGTGTCAGTAATCAAAGGATATTTTCCTTCCCTACTGTTATTGAATTAAAGGAGGAAAACTATATGTAGTCTGCATAGGGGGTAGCATGCTTTTACCAGATCACTTTAGCAGAGTGGAGGAGTCATAGCAAGTGCACTTGCACTTTGCACCTCACGTGAGAAGTAATGGATGAAGCCCAATGTGTGGCTGTGCCTCAGTCTGCAGGATTACTAAGTGCTGCTGCTTGCTAAGTCTCCGTACCTTTGTACCAACGGAGACTCCTGTAGGCTTTTCCACTTACCTCAGCAATTCATTCATTCAGACCGTGTTGGCACTGAGCTTATGGAGGCGCACGCTGAGGCTAAGCTCCTTCAGTGGAATAACACGAAGACGTAGCTAGAGCATGCCTAGCTTGTATCATACGCTCACAGAGCCACCTAGGTTGGAATCGACCTCCCAGATCATCACGGCCAACCATGAGCCAGACCTACTGAGTCTCATCACCAAACCACATCCCTTAGTGCCACGTTTACACATCTCTTAAATACCTCTGGGGGCACAGGGACTCCACCACTTGCCTGGGCAGCCCATTCCCAAAATTTGTCCACCCTCCCCATGAAGAAACTCTGTCTGGTATCCAATCTAAACCTTCCCTGGCACAACTCAAGGCCATATGTTCAGTTCCTTCTCCTGAAAACTGAACATGAATGGAAAATGGATATGTGCTGGACCACGCACCTTGCAAGTTGTCACTCGAATGAGTGTTTCCACTGTGCCTTGCTTTCTGTCTATCATATAACATGACAGGAAGCAAAATATAAATTACACGCTTTTCCATTTGTAGATCTCCTCCTGCAGTTATGAAAACTGAATTTGGATTTAAAAACCACTCTCTCCACTGTTAACTTGGATTTCCAAGGTGCAATCTGAAAGCTTCCTTACTACATTAAATCATAACTGTTTAGCCCTCGGCATGCTAGAAGATGCATCATGGCTAGAAGATGCAGGGGGTAAACCTGAGAAAAGAACATAAATTAGTGGCTGACCCACTGGGTAACGCATCTTTTTCTGATATAGGATAAAACTCAATCTATAACTTTATGGTAATAGTAAGACATAAGTATGCACAATCATAGAAATAAAGCAGAACTGATAACACATCATTGTTTCTAAGAACTTCTATGTCTTTGGGACAAAGGGAAAATCTTGTTTTATGGATTCCCTCAGATCTTAGCCTCAGAAGGCTCCTTTCTTGATACAGGCTTTTTTGCATTTGATGCATACAGGCATACTACACGAGGGTCTTTCTCTGCTCCCTAGCTGCTTATTTTCACCACGTTTGTGGCAAACAAACTTGTGTTTGTGGCAAAAAGCCAAACTAATAGTGTACTGTGTTGTATTCCACACTGCAGTCTATGAAGTCAGGTAAAGTGGAAATTGATGCTGAACTCAATGTTGTGTTTTGAGATCCAGATATGTGGTAAGTTCAAACAAGTTTAAACACTATGCAGTCCAATTTTGGACTGTTTGTTCATTATTTCTTAACACATCTTTTAATCTTCTGCGGACAATTCTATCTCTTCCTTTTTAGGAAATGTCTAAAAGATAGCATTTCAACTATCTCATAAAAACTTGATCATTGTCAGGCAGAGATATGCACAATTGGGCTTGTGCATGGCAATTTTTTGGGTTCTATAAACTGTTTCCTTTTAGGGGAGAATCTATTGATGAGAAACTTCCATTAGACTTAATTCAAGGGAGGCAGATATATGCTGTTGATTGCATTCTATACCTGCTTGTTCATATACATTGTATTTCCTACCAACAGTAATTTATATTAAAATAATTACCTAATACATTCCAGCTTTTCAGATCAACCAGATCTTTTCATTTGTGTATGCAAAAAGTCTGCACAGGATGGAGTCAGGGTAGGAAGGACATGAATTAATCTGAAATTTTGAACTACAACATTTTCTGTCAAAAACTCATGGAATATTCCATCCAGACACATTTCTTGATTCAATCTGCCTTTCTTCTGTACTTATTTTCCTGCCCAGTTAAAGTGGTTTTCTAGTTATGAATGTGCATATGATGTAGGAGACTTCAAAAACATAAGAAGTTTTTCTGCAGTTAGTCAGAAAACTGTGTCATGGGAAAATCTGCTTAGATACTCTGTTTGAATAAACCAAGTGTTTATCACTCCAACTGCAAAAGAATACCTTGAGAAAAGAAAAAAAAAAAAAAAGAAAAAAGACAGTTTTGTGGGTTTCCTTCTTTCCACAATGTAAGATGTTGCTTTAAATAGGATTTCATGTATGTTCATTACTCAGTAATGTCTGGGCTAGATAAAGAAGAAAAACAAAAAACAAAAGGGATCTCAAATCCAACCATAAAGCTGTAACCATTTACATGGTACTGTCCAAATCCCTAACATACAATTAGTCTTGATAAATTTAGGATTTCTTTACTATAAAGTTGCTTAACGAACTGAAAGCTGTAGATCTGACCTGAGGATAAGTGAAGTCCGTGGTATTCCATGAAGTTTTCTTGTTGAATATTCTTCGGGTCATTTTTATAGTGAAGCACGGTTTAGTTCCTGTGAAATAAAGGAAGAATTTTCACTTTAAAATTGCCTCATAGGTCTGAGTGCTTGTCAGAAAATAAACAGAAAATAGAGCTCTCTGCAGGAAGCTATATGAGTTCATAACACTCCAGTGGTTCTGGGTTTGGCCCCTTCCTCCTCCTCCCAGTCCCAGGCAACAAGGCCACAACAAAGTATTCAGAGACCTTCTTCTGGCCATCAACCCTTGACCACCGTAGAGACTAACAGATGTATGCAGAAATTAATACTGAGTTGGGAAATCCTCCACAGAATCACCAATAACATTTCCAGTAATACAAAGGTGGCCTTGGAAGCTTCCCAAACATCCCAGTTTAGACCATGAATCTGAAAAATAACCATTACAGAATCCTACTCTGGAATAATATAATTCAATATTCCTCAGAAACAAGCAGGTATCTCTTGAAATTGTGGATAGTCACCACTTGTTTTCTGTGGTAACTTATTCCTGATGTTTATCTTGGGGGAATTTCAAGATGATCTCATAAATCTTTTCAATCTCATCCATTTATAGGATTGTTTTCCCTTTCTCTTATTTGCAGTGCTAGATCCAACTGGCCCAAATCCTCCCTACAGTAACTGCTTTACACCAGAGATCATTTTTTTATTGCGTTTTATAAATAAATAGTTCAGATCTTTGGGTAAGATTACCCACTAGCTGAATATGCTGAAAGAGAGAATAACTGATACTTTTATAGGCTGCCTGCAAGCACTTACTGTACTAGATGAACAGTTTCTTCTCATCAGACAAAATGCAGTGAGGAATTTTAAAAAAGCAAATCTAAACCTGATTGTAAAGAGACTTGGCTCAAATGCTTTGCTTCTAACTCTCTGGTTAAGAGTTGTGAAGAGGAGTCAGTCCTTTTAAGACAGACCAAGGCCATCCAAGGAAGGCCTCTCTGCTGCACATGGAAATGCTGCAGCCCCATGGGGAACTCGGAGTCTCCCTTCAGCAATAGGGCAGAAAAAAAGCAGACTTTTAGACACTTTTTTTTGACCTATTCTGAATAGATTTTTAGAAGAAATGTCATCAATAGCATGAGAACTCAAGGCCATGAAGAGAGTCTGAGCTGTTACGTACAGTCTCTGAATGTTGTACAACACTAAATTCTAGGAACAGTCATAAGCTTGCTAATATGTAAAGGCAAAGCCTCTTTTTACCAAGATATTTATTAATAGATCACAGCAAAACTCAAATAGCTCTGAAATTATTTTTCTAAGTTCCTAAGATGTCTAGGAGCATACATCCTAGAAGAAGCTGCTCTAATGAAATGGTGAAGAATCCTTAATTAAAGCTAAGACACCTGCCTACGCTTCTCAAAAATAGTCTAAAACATAAATCATTTTATAGCAGTAATGACAATCATGACCACACCTTTTCCCCACTCGCTCTCTTTCCCCATTATATATACAATTATATATCTATTGTATATATCCATAGCAATAAGTAAAAATCCATTGAAGTCTGAATGTGACTATGTGCCTATAAAGCTTACTGTAGGCAATCACGCAAATTATTTTTACATTTAGTCACGAATGCAGTGAGTTCTGAAGATTATCCCTAGTTCTACAAGGGAGACTTTCCAACTGCAGTAAAGCCAAGTCCCTGTCTCTCGTGCTCGTGAGGGAGCCTGGACTCGTTTCATTGTTCTCGTGGAATGCAGCTGCTGTGTGAAGGTCCTGCTGGCAGCTGGAGAGGCAATGGATGGAGTTATTTCAGTACATGTTCGTTTGGAGACTAAGTCTTAAAAAGATAAAACTGCATTAAAGTATCACAGTTATCAAGCCCCATCTCCCACATCACAGCTAGTCACGTTATATAGTCCCTTTTATAGATATGTCAAGCTCCATCTTAAGCTCTTTGTTTTCACTGCTGCTGTCATAACTCCAGCATTTCACTCTTAGAGCAATCTCTCCCTTGTTTTTCCAGACAAAAATCATTACGGGTCAGTTTGTACCCTCGTGCCAGTGCTGTCTTTCACCCTAAATAGCTTTTCCTCCTAGTGTTTACCCCTCTTCAGCAGCGTATTTGTCGACAGCATTCATTTTCTCCCTCGATCTTCATTTTGCTAGACTAAACAAGCTGCTCTACTTAAATCTCTTAAAAGGCCTTTCATTCCCTAATGACCCTCCCAGCTCCTTTCTGCAAACATTCCAGTTTCAGTTCATCCTTCCCGTACGTGGATGCTCACGCAGTTTCCGAAAAGTGATTCCACCAGAACCTGGACTTTCCCAGTCTGTACTGGAAGGCTCTGCTAGAGTCTGGGGTGTAGATCAGCAATACCAATTCCCTGCATCCTGCACAGGCTGGGAAGCTGCTACAGACAGCAAAGCAGTGAAGCAAGATGCTAGGGCTGAATTTTGTTGCTAAGCAGAAAGCCTGCCAGGCAGTGAACCTGTTAGGGGCTACATCACCCTACCTGTTCTTATTCCTAGCTAAATATTACAGTAACATAATACTGAACTCCTGAACTTCCAGGTCACTGTGGTCAGGCCTGCTTCTGATGGGGAAATTCAATCTTGGGCATAAGCAGACATTATCTGGATACCTAATAGCACTGAAATTCTTGAAAGAACCTAAGAGTTATTAAACACTTGTGTGAATTAGATGCTTTTTTCCACAATACCTTCCTCTTGCTACAAGGCCATCTTTGTGCCCCCATCACTTCCAGCTGGCTGTTCTCAATCCAGCAGTTGATTTGGTAGAAAGCTGGAGGGTTGTGCTGCATGCATTTGAAAGGAAAACCCCACAGACCTGGATCCTACCCACCCACTATTAGCACTGCATGCTGCCTCCTGCAGCCACAGTTGGTTCTCTGCTGGTCTGTTACGGAGCACAAAGCTGCTGCCACCAGGAAAACCTCAGGTAAAAAGATGCAACTGAACTATGGCATGAATGCTGGCGTGAAATCTCCAAGGTTTTTCATGCATCTCACCCTTGATTGAGAAGATGCTGCAGGGTCCCCCAGTTCTGTGATGTCTGGAATCTGGTAGAGCTGAACCAGCACTGAGGGTCTTCTTCAGGACTGGGGGAAAGGGAAGCGTACCACAGAGGTGGCTCTCATTCATCCCTCCTAGAAACAGTGACTATGAATGTGTAGTGTGGATGTGTTCTTTCGTGCTGATTCTCATTTTCTGAAAAAATTCATCTTATTTTTTCATGCCTTTGTGAAGAGGAAAACAAAAATCCTGAGTATATTTAGACAGATCTAGTTTCAAAATCAGGTGAAATGCTTGTGACATTTAAAGTAATGGCAAAACCCTCGTTGGCTTTCCTGGGGCCCAGATAGCCTGGATGTTAACCATAAGGTATAGTATCACTGCTTCTATTTGTTTTTCTTTTTGGCAAAGCCAAAAAATCTGCACAAGGTTTATTTTCTAACAGATTTTAATAGTTGTAATGCAAATATTATTGCAGAGAATGTGAATTACAGCAATATGTGACAACTGAGTAAGAGGTCCTCAGCTGCTGAAAATTGTCACAGCTTAGCTGAAATTACGTTATGTTAGCATAGAAAGCTCCCCACACATTTAAAACACAGGAATAGCTAAGGTGTTAGGAACTTTAAACGTGTGGGAAACAACTTAATGAGTCAATTTGATTTAGTGGTGGGAAGCCCCTAGCTTCATGTATTGCAGAAGTTCTCCAGACTACACTAAACTGAGTAACATACCCAGAATGTAAAACGTATCAACTCTGAAAGAAACGAAGCCATTGTTATGTATTACTGGCTGCAAGCACAGACCCACAAGTGCAGAAATAATGTGGAAAAATTACTGGAAACTCTTATTTAAAATATTTTACCTTCCAAAATAATTTCTTCAAGTTGTAAGAACTAATGCATCCTGAACAAAACAGTGCTTTTACTATAAACCTTTAAAAAGGAAAAAGCTTCAGCACAGAAAGCCTGCAGTTAAATCTCTGATGATTTAGGTTTTTTCCTTTGCTAAGTGTTCATAATTTATCAGAAAACTCAAGGGTTTTCAGAAGAATAACTTCATGTTCAGTCATTTTGAAGCAACTTTGGGTTTTTCCTTTTGTTTTCAATTTGTTATAGTTGCATTCCTTCTGAGTGTGAAAAATAAAACAAGTATTTCTAAGATATAAATAGTTTAGGATGAGATGAGTAATTAACTGAGAAGAAACCAGAGTTGATTGGTGATAGATCTAAGTGACATGACAATAAAATTTCATTCTTTCCTCCTAGCTTAGCACTGAGGAGGTGATGATTTTATGAAACAATGCTCCATAAAAATACAATGTATTGCAGAACATGATTATACCTCCCAAAAATATAAAGTAACAACAGAAAATAAAGAGGAAAATTACCTCTTAATTTACACGAGACAAAAGACATGCAAATGTTGTTACATTAGGTCATTTGAAGAGTTTTTCCTGGTTTTCTTGCTACAGTTTTGGAGCTTGGGAAACTAGCCACCCCCACAGTGAAAATGCCTTACATTTTCTCCAGCTGTCACCAGGTCTCACTCACCTGCCAGCTCTGGACCCTGCTCCTTCTCAGAGGTAGGAATGGTAGCTGGTAAGGAGGTGGCACATTTTTCACAGTTTGACACCCTTCTTATTACACCTCCAATATTTTGGTTTTCTTCTCTCAAAGTAAAGGAGTGCAAAGAAAAAGACCATAAAGGACTCAAGGTATAAAATAGTTTACGCCTCCTTTTTAGACCAAGATTAATAATGCCTACATTGCACTAATAGAACTAGTAAAGAGATGCAACTTCATGTAAAAATGTAAATATAAATAAAACAAATACATGTATTTGTTTTATGAAAATGGTTATTAAGAGAAGTTATTTTCATCTCTCTTCAAAGAATTATAAATAGATGATTGAAATAAAGCACGTTGGTTCTACATTATCTTGCCATACTCCATTCTTACTTTTACTTCTCTGTAGATCAAGTGTTAGAGAATCTTTGAGTATCAATGTGCCGATTGTACTGAAATAAAAGATTA